AGCAGGAAATTGATGGGCCCCCATTTTGTCAAGCAAATGCTGACATGTCTGCTTTGCCTGCCTCCTTTCCAGCAAGCCTCTCTGAGGCCAAGGCTGCCACTCCATCAGGGCCCATCTGGGAGGCAAGCTTGTGCCGCTCAGCCTTTGAGCTGCAGATGGAAAACATCTGCAGGAAGCAGGCAGCTTTGCCTGCACTGCCTTGCCTCCATCAGTCACTGGCCCAATGAGATATGCTTGCACTTGGCTCATTAAGGACCCTAATGTGCTTCACAGCCATGAGCTAGTGCAGTCTCTGTGGGGAGGCAGGAGCATCCTCTCCTGTGGCGCTCTTGTGTCAGCTTTTGCCAGCTGACTCTATTCCATCCTAAGATGCCCTCTGGCCCAGGAGACCTAAGAATATAAGCGTGACCAACACCCCCATCCTGGGTACGTCTCACTGATGTCCTCCATCAGGGCCGCACCCCTCTGTGTTCAAAGATGACACATCATCCTGATTCTGCCATGGGTTGGGGGCTCAGCCGAGAACAGCTGATTCTCTCTACAGGGGAGATAAAAACAGTTTCAGTATGAATCAGTGAGGGATGGCATGTGATTCAAGGATACATGTCCTGCAGCCTCTTGTGCTTTGGAGCAGCAGTGTTTCAAATTTGTGGCTTTGGAGAAAAGAAAAGACCCTTCCAGCTATTTTGAAACATAACCCTGAATTAGGAGGAACTTGGAGCCAGTGTGGTTTTCAGGGTGCTTGGAAGGCAGGCTCTCTGCCCGGTAGCAGCAGAAGATATCTGAAGAGGTCCCCAGTGTCCTTCCACAGAACCAGTTCAGTGAGGACAAACCATCCTTCAGCCCTCTGGATGGGGTCCCAAGAAGGGCGGGGCTGTCACGCTGAGTGCTCTGGGTCTTGTTTTCCCCTCCCCCTGAACCAACTTTTAAAGGGTCTGCTCTAGGCCTTCCCGGGAGACAGACATTCAAACTAATGATTGATTTACAAGGTGAGAAGGCACAGCGGGTTAAAGAACGGGCATTACCAACTTAAAGGAAGGAAAGAAATTACACTTGTTCTCAAGACAGGGTTCATTAGTGGTTCTGGCAAGGAGGTGTCTTCAACACTCCCACAGGAGGATCAGTTTGCAGCTGCCGTGGTGACTTCTGACTTTCAGGAAAAGATCTCCCAGCTCCGGGAGAATTAGGGGGAGCACGCTCAGCTCCAATCCCTCCCCCTTCCCACCCCCCAACCTGGCAAAGGATGGACCTTCAGGTGGCACCCAGGACCGACATAGGCTCACCCCCAGTGCCCTCAATCCTGCCTGGACTCCTGCTGCAGCCAAAGAAGGAGCTGCACCCCCTGCTCACCGGTGACTTGTCAGCCCTGTGCACCCAAATTGGGCTCCAGGCAGAGCTCCTGTCTGTCCTGCCACCTTGGAGCCCCAGTTCTGCAAAAGCCTTGGGAAAGTAGCAAAAAGGGGCAGGCGGGGAGGTGCACAGATGGATGGAATCCACCAAAGCGCAAGCCTCTCACTGCCTTTTCTGTGCAAAAAGTCTGTGCATCTCTCTGTAAATGTCACAATAGTGTGAGCTGCTGTTCTCCTAACATCTGACACTTGCTTTTAAATCTACAGGTTGAAATCTCAGAGACTCAACTTTTTAGCTAAGTAAGTATAATTGCAAATCCTGTTATATATATGAAATGCATATGGACATACATATCACACACAGGTGTGTCATTCTGAATATTACCACCCACGTCCCAGGAATTCAGACCTCAACCCACCAATCTGTGTGTAACTCTGTTGTCCTGCATGATCAAGGCGAGAAGTCCTGAGAGACTCTGGGCACTGTCCTGCCTGTGTCTGGCTTCCGGAGCTAGGTGCAGGCACCTCACACATGGCTTGTCTTCTGGGCCAGGGCGCAGTCCACTGGTAGCGTGAACTTGACGGTGCCATCCTTCTCCCAGCCCCTCCGGATCTTGGAGAGTCTGCGGCTGAAGCAGGGCAGGAGAAACAGGCCTTTGGCCAGGATGACAACACAGGGCACCAGCAGGGTTAGTGTGAAGGTGGGGGGCAGGTAGAACTTGTAGCGACTCTCCTCGAAGGCGCGGGTCCAGCCGTAGGTGAGCGTATGCAGGGTGCTCAGCACCAGGCCCACAAAGCCCAGAGTGGACTGCCAGAGAAAAGAAGGCTAGAATGAGGGTCAGGGTGAGGATGGACACAGCGATTCTACCAATGGCTTGTCTGCTTATTTGGCAGAGGGGAAGGAAGGAGGGCAGCTTTAGTAGGGCTCTGTGTTCAAATCCCAGCCCCGTCACTCACTCTCTGTGTGATCTTATTACTGTCAAAACTCTCTGAGCCTCAGTTTCCCCAAGAGAACAATGCTCATACGTCAAAATATATAAGGATTCATTGATTCATAAGGATTCTATAAAATAACAATGCTTGGGGACTTCTCTGGTGATGCATAATCCGCCTGCCAATGCAGGGAACACGGGTTCGAGCCCTGGTCCGGGAGGATCCCACATGCCACGGAGCAACTGAGCCTGTGTGCCACAACTACTGAGCCTGTGTTCTAGAGCCCGCGAGCCACAACTACTGAGCCCGCGTGTCTAGAGCCCGTGCTCCGCAACAAGAGAAGCCACCGCAATGAGAGGCCCGCGCACCGCAACGAAGCGTAGCCCCCGCTCGCCGCGACTAGAGAAAGCTCGCACGCAGCAACAGAGACCCAACGCAGCCATAAATAAATAAATAAATTTATTAAAAACAAAAAACAAAAAAACCCAATGCTTTTCCCCAAACTGTATTATTCATACCTCTGGTGGCTGCCAGAGGACTTAAGATGGAATTAAATTTAAAGAAGTTTAAAAACATGTTACTAGTTTTGTGTATCTTTTCATGTGTACAGGGTAATGTGTCTGCTAGCATATCAAAATCATAATTTCACAGATAATATTTGGCATAAGATACAGCCAGGTAAAAAGTGAGTGGATCTTAAGTTGGTTTAAAGATAAGCACAAAGGAAAAATTTACTTGGCACATGGCTTTGGCACCAATAGTGAAGGTGACTCACAAGGGCTTGCAGGCTAGTTGTCCTGACACTGTATATCAAGCCCACAGCATCACATAGATGCTTTCTGTGGGTGCTGGCCCCTCACCTCCTGCCCGTGCTCTGAGTTATGAACACCCCAGGTACAAACCCCGCCAGGATTACTCTCCTGCCTGGAAGGAGATTAGTGATGCTGGGGACATCAAGACCATCACAGATCCAAATGGAAATGGTCCAATCCGTCGTGTGGCAGAGCATCTTGCCCCTTGAGCCAGGTCTGGGCTTTTGTGGGTCACTTCCAGCCATGAGCAGCTCCTTGTCACCCCAAGTGCTATACAATCATGACTTTCTATGGGAAGTGTGATGTGAAAATAGCCAGGAAGTGATGATCTGTAACTCTAGCCTCTGGGAATCTTTTGCACGTAGGGTTTCTTGCAAACTACAAATGATGCCTTCCAGATTCTACTGTTGGTGCTAGTCTCAACTGACACTGTGACCCTCGGCAAGTTGCTTAATTAGCCTCAGTGAGAAGGAAGTGATTACAAAAGTAAAGTCAGAATTGTAGGGA